CCGTCGAGGTGAACCTTGGTGAGTTGGCATGTCGCTAGGACCCCAGGACTGGTCATGTGATTTCCTGGTATCGGTGTCGGCTGAACTGTGTGACAGGGCACCTTAATGAGGCTGATGAGGGAATGTCACAATAATACCAGAGTCTGGAAGAAACGGAACTGTGCAGGCCAGAGGGCTGTCCTTGGGGGTGTCAGTGAGTGTGTGTCTAAGCTATGTATATGTGACACTATGGGGACCAAATGCCCCCACAATGTGGTAAAAAAAAACCTGCTATTTTGACATTGTGGGGACCATTTTTTTGGTCCCCATGAGGTGAAACTTAATTTTATGAAAAGCTGTGACTGCAATCAAAAAACAAAAAATGCCAAAAGTCTTGTATCTTGTTTGGTTACTTTTGGTTAAGGTTAGGGCTGGGTAGGGGGGGTCATTGCTATGATTAGGGTTTTTCCTATAGAAATGAATGGAGGGTCCCCACAAAGATATGAATACAAATCTGTCTGTGTGTCTCTTGCATGCTGCCTGGCTAAAAGTCTTTGATTTTCTCTCATATAAAAAGCAAAAGAGTCACTGTCGACTATTGACTGTCGGTCTTAAAGCGAGTTAGCATTTCAGTGCTTTAGATAGCATCACGTTCGTGTGTGTCGTCTTGCAGTCACAGTGTTGGGGCTGCTTGTGACTGCGTGTTCCGGAGGGTCCGGAACGTGTCCAAAAGCATTCAGAAGCATACGGCCTGATGTGTCTGCAGAACCTCTGGCCTGTTCCTGGCCGAATCTCTGTTATGTAAGTGACATTAGGCAGAATCCAGACGGCCCTGCAGCACGTTGGTCTTTCACTAGGGGACCTTGGATGCATATCCTCTATACCAGCCAGCAGGGGGAGCTCTGGGTACACAGCAGGAAGGCTGGGCCTGGAGGAATCTGCTACACAGGGACGAACGTGTGCCGGCAGGGAGTAACGTGCCGCGTAACTGCTGCCTGGCAGCCAGGGAGGGGAATTTCATCCCATCGGCAGCGGGGATATTGCTGCTGTTTCGGCTGTCCTGCTGTCAGGACTATTTGAGGCAGCCTGTGTGAAACAGGCACTGTATCTTTTCTCTGGAAGCCTTTTCTTGAGGCACGGGTGCCTGCGGTGGACTCTGAGGGCCTTACTTGCCATTAACACAAGGACAGGTAGGTAGGAGAGTTTTAGCTTTTCGTGTTTGGTTTGTATTGACTGTTTAGGTGGACAGTCTGGGGGTCTCCAAGGATTGGGTTGGGAAACTCTGGTATAGAGTGAGTGAGTGACTAAATAAAATCAGAAAGTGCTGCAGAAGTTCCACCCAAAGAAGACACGTTTCACTGCACTTGTCTTTTGTTAATATTAGGGTGTGTCACAGACAGCACACATTTTAGCTTATAACCTCCTGAGACCCCACCCATTCATTTATGTCCATTGCAGTGGACATTTTGTTTTTGCATCTATTTTTTCACTCATGTAAGGAAACGTATTTATTCCTGTTGTGTACTAAAGAGGACAAGCTGTGAAATTAAAAATAAATTTTGAAAAAATCTAAATTGTAAGATGTCTTATTTCCCCCAAAGACAAATAACCTAAAATTGAAGGACACTTTTTTCCTTGGGTCTTAGGAGGATATAACCGTAAAATATTAATCTGATGAGTCTCCGTTCCTGTGCGAGGAACCTCTCCATGGTGTGCTGGTAAATGTTCTGAAGCCCTGGGGGGGGAATGCCACGCCCAATTCCTCTGAGAGGAGGCGGACAGAGGAGCACCTGACGTTCAGACCTGGGAGTGAGGGGGTGGCCCACGGCATGCTGGGCCTGTGAGACACCGAGGGAGCGTTCGGGGTTCCCTGTGTGCTCTGGCCTGTTGCGGGTAGTCTGCACCCCAGCTGGCGGGCGGTGCGTGCTGATTCTGTGAGGTATGTCAGACGGTAACGTCTCTCTGATCACAGGGGGTGCGGGATTGCGGGGCACAGAGGGAGCGTGGAGCAGGTATTGGCTTACCCTGCTGGTGGAGCCAGCTTCTTATTGGCTTACACTTTGTCTGGTGACACATATATGAAATTTCAAGCAGTTTGTGTATGAAATTATTTAATCTTATTTTATGGCGTTGGTTTGAGGGAAGAATGTGTGTGCCGGTGTGTGTGTGTGTTGCATGTCATCAGTACTGTTTGATCTTTATGTGTGTGTGTGTGTGTGTGTGTGTGTGCTGGGCTTTGGTAGGAAAAGACCTCTTCATGCACTCAAACAGAAAGCTGCCCCAGGGAATCATGGGAAATGAATATATCGCTCCCTCTGCAAATGGGCTTAATGCTGTGGTGCCAGGTGGCCACAGGGGTTTAATCCCTGGTTTCTCGTCTCGGTTTGAGGAAGCCTGTCTCTGCTGTGGAACTGAGATGCATGTCAGTGCTGGGAGGGGCTGCTAGGAGCTCACATGCCAGAGGGATCCGAACTGGCAGAATGGGCTCCGATGAGCCCATTCAATGTCTGCAATGAGAACAGTGACCTCTAGTGTTTGTCCTCCGCACATGCAGCGATGGTGGCAGTCTGTGGCATCTCTGATGGTCACTTTAAAGCAGCTTCTCTGTAGTATGGCTGGATTTTCTTCAAACTGAGCTGGTTAGATTGTGATTTTGACTTTATCGCTCACACTGTTTTATGGGGGGGTGTTAATATTACTATAAATAAATGGAAATAAGTCTGCTAAATATTCATGCTAAAACTTCATCTTTTGAATTGGGTCCTAGCCTTTCTCTGGACGTTTATGGTGATCATTTATAATGTGTGACCAATATGGACCCTGACAGGTATCAGATCTCCGAAACACAAGGCCTTCCATCGATTATTACTTTGAAATCTTGGACAAAGCAAGATCATTCTAGCATCTGCATTTTCCTGCTTGTCTGAACGGGTAACATGCTTACTGGACGTTTTTGTAAAATAATTTTGCTTTTGCCCTTGAATATCAGCAACTAGTCAATTAAATGAAACTAGATATGAGCTATTAATTGTTGCAAATACCTGCATTAAAAACATGTTCTGATTATGAACAGAAATTCTATTCTATTCTGTTCTATTGTATTCTATTGCTCTGGTTATGTGATACAAACTTGCCCCCCCATAATTGGCTCACTGGCTGCTTTTCCCCCAGCCTGAGGCACCTCCTGAGGGATTTTTCCCTCTACATGTTCCTGCTATCGACATCTAGGAAGCTGAAGGGGGCGGTATAGCATGTGGGACCTTTGTGGACAGCGGTTCCTGTACGGTGCCTGAGACACAGAGCAGATCTCTCCCGGTCGTGCCCTTTAAAGTGTGTGTGGCAGTTAAGGATTATGTTGCATTGTTGCTCTTGGTGGATCGGGACCCTTTGCTTGCAAGTGAAACATCAAGCAAGTTGTATGAACCACAATCTGCAGGCGTCAATGTGCTACCACCATTGCAACAAGCTGTTGATTCTCTCTTCTATACTGGTCTATACTGGTCCCTCCCCTGGCGAATAATTTCAGAGATATGATTTGATACGTCTTTTTAAGAGGCCTGTCTGTTGTCATCATTTGTACTGTGATGCTCACTTTGAGCCCTAATCTTTCTGTTGAGGATTTTGATGATTGTTTATAATGTGTGAACAATGAGTTCCCTCGTAGGGATCAGATCTCACAAAAATGAGCCCTTCGATTGAATACTATTTGAAATCTTAGACCCTCAAATTTTGGACAAAGCCAGATCATTCTAGCTGTCTATGTTCCTGCTTTTCTGAATGGACGTCATGTCTAGTGGACATTTGGACAGCTTAAGTGAATGGGAAGGCGAGTGAACGTCAGCAGCCTTTACGGCCGGTTTGTGGGAAGTCCTTTCAACGCCGCCTTTCTTCAGCCTCATCTGATTCCTGGGTGGTGACATCATTTCTCTCTGTGATGCTTTCAGGGCTCTGTGATCAAGGGGGACCCATGTGACGCCATCGCTGAAGACTGTGACGATATTTGCATCCTGTCCATGGAGCAGCAGCCCGACCGACCCAGCCCCCCCGCGTCACCCTCAGGCACTGAGCGAGGAGAGCCCTGCTCCTGGCAGACAGGCAGCCCCCCCATTTCTCTGGTAGTCACTGAGTCCTGGTCCCAGGTGGACGTCATGGACCCCGAGGACATCAAGAGTCTGGATGGCAATGAAGGTGCGGTGCTGGCTGAGGAGCACAGCGAGAACAATTCCTCTAACTCTGACATCGTCCACGTGGAGAGGGAGGAGGCGGAGCTGCTGGAGTCTGGGGCTGAGGGAGAGGAAGAGGAGGCTGAAGAGGAAGAGGAGGAGGAAGGAGCAGGGGCTGAAACCGTGCTCCCAGAACTCCAGGAGAGTCTACTGAGTGTGCTGGGCGGTGAGAGTGAACTGATGGAGCTGAAGGTGGAGCTTAGCAGCCCCGCCCCCTCATTTGGCCACACCCCCTCATTTGACCCCACCCCCTCAGTTGGCCACACCCCCACAGTTAATCCCCCGCCTTTGCCCCTTGAGGCTACTGAGACCCAGGAGCCTTTGGCGTCTGAGCAGACCAACCCCATCCCAGCAGATGCCATTCTTGTGTCCCACATGGAGTCGTCCACGCCCGACGCTCCTGTGACAGCTGTCCCCACTGAGCCCCCACCCCCAGCTCAGGATCTTCCCCCTCTTCTTATGGAGGCAGACCTGGTGCCGGAACCAGAATCTGAGCTGCCGGGGGAAAGCTTACAGCACCCAATCCTGTCAGCAGAGGTCCAGCTGCAGCCTACAGCTACAGCACCCCCCAAAGCGTCTGCGCAGGAATCCTGCAAAGCCCCCCCTGGGGAATCCCCACTGCAGCCGAAGCCTGCAGCCACGACCCCCCCCAAAGCGTCTGCGCAGGAATCCTGCAAAGCCCCCCCTGGGGAATCCCCACTGCAGCTGAAGCCTGCAGCCACGACCCCCCCTAAAGCGTCTGCGCAAGAATCCATCAAAGCCCCCCCTGGGGAGGCCCCACTGCACCCACAGTCTGCAGCCACGACCCCCCCCAAAGCGTCTGCGCAAGAATCCATCAAAGCCCCCCCTGGGGAGGCCCCACTGCAGCGGAAGCCTGCAGCCACGACCCCCCCCAAAGCGTCTGTGCAGGAATCCTGGAAAGCCCCCCCTGGGGAATCCCCACTGCAGACACAATCTGCAGCCACGACCCCCCCCAAAGCGTCTGCGCAGGAATCCTGCAAAGCCCCCCCTGGGGAGGCTTCACTGCAGCCGAAGCCTGCAGCCACGACCCCCCGCAAAGCGTCTGCGCAGGCTGCACAGGAATCCTGCAAAGTCCCCCCTGGGGAGGCCCCACTGCAGCCGCAGCCTGCAGCCACGACCCCCCCCAAAACGTCTGCGCAGGAATCCTGCAAAGTCCCCCCTGGGGAGGCCCCACTAAACCTAGAGCCCCAGCCCCCAGAGTCGTCCTCTCCTTCTGAGCTGTCGGTGTTGCTGTACGGTGGCGCCGCCCTGGTGGCCATTGCTGCTGTACTGGCATATGGAGCCTTTCTCTACAGGAGGAAGTAGCAGAGATCCTTCTCCGCTGTTGCTCTGGTTATCCAGGATACTGCGGACACTGGGGGCCCTGGGCTGCTGGCACACTCGCACTCGCACACTCGCACTCGCACACTCGCACACGCACACTTTCGTCTTTGTTTTTTCCCCCCATACATCTGTCACGTGTTCTGCCCTGTCTGCTGCGGTGGCGTTTTGGGCTTTTTGCTCTCTGTTCTCATCTGCTGCCCCAGCTCCATTCTCAGCAGCTCGCGAATTTTTCCCGTAAGGTCCCAGTTTGCTCCTGCACTGTGGAGAACCGCTCACCTTGTGCGATGTTCATGTTGCATAGAGCCACCCTGGTAAATCTCAGACAAATATTTACCAACATAGGGGGGTAACCTGGTTTAGATCATGTGTAGTTGACTGGAACATGTTAAAAATACAAATGCCATACAGCTCAGAGTAACACACACACACACACACTCACTCTCACACACTCACTCACACACTCACTCACACACTCACTCGCTCACACGCACACACTCACTCGCTCACACGCACACACTCACTCTCACACACACTCACTCACTCACACTCGCTCACACGCACACACACTCGCTCACACACACACACTCACTCACACTCACTCACACTCGCTCACACGCACACACACTCGCTCACACACACACACTCACGCACACTCACTCACTCACACAGTCACTCTCACACACACTCACTCATGCACACACTCACTCACACACACACACTCACTCACACACACACACACACACACACTCACTCACACACACTCTTCAGTACTTTGGTTTGACAGCATCAACTGTACTGAAAACCATGACATCAAAGAATAGACCCCCCCTCCACTCTCCGCTCTTCTGGGAAAGAGGACCAGCCGTTGTTCAACCTGGTATCTGTTCATCCAGACTGGTTCTGCTAACCATTCACTGCTATACACAGAAGGAAGTAAGGATTGTCGTTGTTCTTGATGAATGGACACTTGTTCTGTTTTTCTTCTTTTTCACTGGGATGTCAGGCCTGCTGACCGGGTCTGGGTCCTTGGTGTCATTTTTATTTCACACGTACAGCTCACAGCACTCAGGGGACCAATTGGGCCTGGCAGAGCC